CCTTCTGTGCCCTGGTGCACAACTTCTTCCCTGAGGCCTTCGACTATGGGCAGCTTAGCCCTCAGAACCGACGCCAGAACTTCGAGGTGGCCTTCTCATCTGCGGAGTAAGTGTGGGCCGTGGCCCTGCTAATGTTGCTGCACATCTGGGGCTGGACATCGGGACCAGGCCCAGTTGCCCTGAGAACCCCTGGAGCGGGCCGGCCACTTGGTCAGTCAGCGGCTGAGACCCCCTTCCCCAGAGAGTCCCCGTCCTTCTCCATCCCCGCTCACCCGCTGCTGAGCGTGCCAGGTGCCCGCCGGAACGAAGGAGCCACAGGCCGGCCTACCAGCCCGGGCCAAGGCCCACCAGGTGGCCCTGTCCATATCCCCTCCATCCTCCCTCTGCCCCCTTCTCCCTCTCTCTCCCTTTCTCTGTCCTGCTCTCCTCCCACTATCACCAGAGCTTCCTGCTCCCACGGGATCCCGGCTGGAGATTCCAAAAGGAGGCTCCTGGCCCGGGCACCGTGCCCGCCCAGCCTATATAGTGCTGCCAGAGGCTTATATAGGACCTCAGCAAGCCCTCCACTTTGGAATCGTTGCCCCGTCTGCTCACCTCACCCTCAGCACCCTTCTCCATCTGTCTTCCCTTCTCTCCCCTTTTCTTTCTGGTTTCTCTCAAATTTCTTCCTCTTCCTCCTTCTCCTCCTCCTCCTCCCCCCACCTCCTCTCACGCCTCCCTCACCCCCTCTCCCCGGGGCACAGCCCTCCTCTCCAACCTTGGTGCCAACGCCGTTTACCCCACCCCGCGTTCCCGCTTGCCCCTAGAGTTCTCTGCACCTGTGACTGGTTTGGCCCCCACCCCTGTTTGCATTGCACACCATTAGTGATGGGTAGTGAGCGGCACGTCCACAGTGGGGAGGCGGCATGCGGGGGGCTGGCAGACTGCAGCACTGGAATCGTAACTGAACTCATGTCTCTGTGTGTGTGTGTATGTGTGTGTCTCTGTTTCCTCCCCTCTCTCTTCTCTGCCTCTTCCCTCTCTTCCCCACCTGGGGCCCTGGCCTCCTGCCCCCGTCCCCCACCCCTTCCCGGCCCCCTACCCTCCCCAGGACCCATGCGGACTGCCCGCAGCTCCTGGATACAGAGGACATGGTGCGGCTTCGAGAGCCTGACTGGAAGTGCGTGTACACGTACATCCAGGAGTTCTACCGCTGTCTGGTCCAGAAGGGGCTGGTAAAAACCAAAAAGTCCTAACCCCTGCTCGGGGCCCCACGGTGAGAAACGCCGCCTCTCCCATCTGTCCCATTTCACCAGAATCTGCTCAGCAAGGCACAGAGAGGGTCCAGGGAGGCGGGTGGGAGAAGTAAGGGGGGCATTTAGTCAAGCCAGAGGAGCCAGACATAGCCCTGTCTTCTGGCAGTTCAGGGCCCAAGGCGAGACCATTCTGAATGGGCGGTGATGACCCAGGTGAGCAGCACTGTGATGGGGGAAGCCCAGGGGAGGTGCCTGACCCAGGTCTGGGCCCTCCATCTGAAAAAAGTGCAAACTAAGCTGGGATCTGAACAAGTTCAGGCTAAAGGAGGCAGAGGGAGTTCCAGGCAGAGGGATCAGCCTAGGCTTAGCAGGGCAAGAGAGCTGAAGAGCGCAGCACACCAGGAAGGGAAGAAACTTGAGTCTGGATATGAGGGAGGAGGAGGGGGCCACAGTTAGAAGTTTGACCTTCAGGCCGAGCACGGTGGCTCATGCCTGTAATCCCAGCACTTTGGGAGGCCGAGGCGGGCAGATCACAAGGTCAGGAGTTCGAGAGCAGCCTGGCCAACATGATGAAACCCCATCTCTAGTAAAAATACAAAAATTAGCCAGGCGTAGTGGCACACGCCTGTAATCCCAGCTACTCAGGAAGCTGAGGCAGGAGAATCACTTGAACCCAGAAGGCAGAGGTTGCAATGAGCCGAAATCGTGCCACTGTACTCCAGCCTGGGTGACACGGCGAGACTCTGTCTCAAAAAAAAAAAAAAAAAAAATTGACCTTCCTCCTGAGGACAACAGGAGTCATAAAAGGTTTCCAAACAGAGGAGGGATGGATGTAGCATTCTAGGACCTTCCTTGGATGAGGCTTGGACGAGAGACGGGATGGACTAGATGGCTGGAAGAGCGAGAGAGACAGGCTTCCCAATAGATCTGGTTTGGAGAGGGAGAGGGAAGGTCAAGAAGTCTGCCAGGCTCCTATGTGGGCACTGGAGAGTTGGTGGTGCCATACTCCAAAGTGGGGAGCTCAGGGGCAGGACCAGTTCAACAGGAAGATGTTTCTGGCTGGGGGTTCTGGATCCTAAACCAGCTGTGGCATTTCCTCTCTGGTCACCTCACCTCAGTACCAAAGTAGAGAATTCAGATCCTGAACTAACTACCCCATTACAGACAAGGAGCTCAGAGAGAGAGAGGGGCTAAGACTGTCCTGGGGGTGGGAGGGAGAGGGAAGATGGTTAGTTCAGAGGTGGGGCCGGAAACTGAGACTCCAGACTCCCCACTTAGTGGCTGTTTTCCTTGCCCCATCACTGCGTTCCCGCCCATTTTGTAGAGAGGATTGAAAATAGAGGCCCAGAAGGAGCAAGGGGATTGGCTGAAGGAATGTGAGTCAGTGACAGGTAGGGGCACACTCAGATGCCCCTCGGGGCCTATAGCCATTATGGGGGGCAGTCCACACGTGCACACACACACTCAGAGAAGGAGCGCAGATGAGGGGAGGATGGGCTTGGTGCTATCTCCAGATCATATATGGACTTAGGAGCTGCTGCCCAACAAGCCAGCTTGGAGGGAGAGGGGCCCAGCCCAGCCCTGATCCAGTTGGAAAGTGTGACTCAGCCGTGCTGTTGCTCAAGTTGCCTGGTGTTTGGCCTGTCACTGGGGCAGCCTGAGCCCTGAGCCCTGAGCCGTGAGCCCCAGTGTAAACAATGGCTTTATAAGGTCTCCAGGGAAGGGAGTAGGGGCGGGAGGGAGCACCAGGTTGGAGAGGGAGGTCAGGATCCCTGGGACGATAGCCATAGCTGGAAGAAGCTTCAGAGAGAGGCTGCCTCTGCATCATGGTATAGCTCGGGAAACAAGCCCAGTATGGGATAGGGATGACCCCAGGGGCACGTAGCACATCAGCAGCAGACCGAGAACCCTCTCACCCATCCTAAATTCTTGTAAGGTCTCAAATGAGATAGGGAATAACTGTCCTGTTCTAAAGAGGGGGAAACTGAGTCACAGAAAAGGGCCTTATCTAGCACCCACAACTGGTTAGGGATAGAGTCTGGACTAAAACAGAGGTGTTCTGCCTCCCAGGTTTCTTCTTTGAAGGAGTCCAGGTGAGTTGGGAGTAGGCCCAGCCCTACCACAGTTCTGAGTTTGTCCATAAGGGCACAAGATGGGAGGTGGTCTTGGGTTCTCAGGTGTCTTGAGAATAAGGAGGAATTCTTGCCATTATGCCTTCCCTGCCATAGGAAACTCAGTCTGCAACATTGAATGCTTGCTATGTGCCAGGTGTGGCAGATAGGAGAGAGCAAACAGGGATCAAGACAGAAGAGGTCCTGCTCTGGGGGTTGAGGGACAGGGGAAAGGGAGCCAGAGAGCAGACTCCAGCTTCAGAGCTCTGGGGGCTGTCAGTTGCTTAATAGGCACAACCCACTCACTCCAGAGTGGGGAAAAGGCTTTGCCAACACCCAGAACTGGGGGCCTGGGTCCCATGCAGCCTAACCTGCACTTACTAAACCGTGGGGCTTGAAACAAGTCGCTCCTCTGCTCTGTCACTCAGTTTCCTTATCTGTGAAGGGCAACTAGCATTCTGAAGGATGGCCAGAAGGGTGGTCCCACCCCTGAGCATGGTGTAGATGGTCCATTGGTATTGGCTGGGATCCTCATCTGCCTCCCCTGCTCTACCCAAGGCAGATGATAAGGGTTAGAGAACCCCTCTGCTGCCCACACATTCCCTGGCCTCCATCTCCAGCAGCAGGGTTATCCCTACCCCCTGTCAAAGAACAGGGGTCTGGGTCTCTCAACAGGAAGTACCGGGTCAGGGAGCTAGCAGACAATCATCAGGGGACCACAGGCTAACTAGAGTGAGAAATGTCCATAGAGAAAGATTGGCCAGTGATGAAGCCCATTTGGGTGCAAAGGCCCAGCTGAGAGGCTTCTACCAACTGAAGTGTGCCAGTGAGGGTGAGCAGAAGGCGGTCTCCAGGGAGAGCACGGGCAGAGTTTGGAGCCAGCTCCTCCCCAGAGGTGGAGGAAACAGACCCAGGACCTGCCTGACTGGGATGGGGCTCTCTTCTGCCATCTCCGCCTCCACCTGCCTAGCTCTGCTCCCCCGCCCCGAGGGATACCTCTAGGCTTGGGTAGATGAAGCCAGGGGCTTCCTGCCTTCCTGGAAGGCTTTTCCCTGCCTGGAGTAAGACCAGCAGGCAATGCGGCAATAAACAAGACCTTGGGGTAGAGGGGCGCCACGAGAGGCGGGGCCGGTGCTGACATCCACCCCCGTACCCCCTCCCTGCAGGATGCTAGTGGACTGTGTGCCCCTGGTGGAGGTGGAGGACATGATGATCATGGGCAAGAAGCCTGACCCCAAGTGTGTCTTCACCTATGTGCAGTCGCTCTACAACCACCTGCGGCGCCATGAACTGCGCCTGCGCGGCAAGAATGTCTAGCCTCCCTGCCCGCATGGCCAGCCAGTGGCAAGCTGCCGCCCCCACCCTCCGGGCACCGTCCCCTCCCTGTGCGCCCGCCCACCGCTGCCCTGTCTGTCGCGACACCCTCCCCCCACATACACGCAGCGTTTTGATAAATTATTGGTTTTCAACGATTCTGACTCCTCCCTGCGTCTCCTGGGGGTGGGGAGGGGGCTTGAACCGAAGGCGGCTCTGCAAGGTCTCCAACTCCAGCAGCCAGGCACTTGGGAATGCGAGGTCCCGCTGGGGTCCTCAGAGGTTCTTCTTTCGACCTCCCACCCCATCCCCCCGCAGCAAGCAATGAAGGAGTCGAGCCTCAGTTAAGGCAGGAGGGAATTTAGTGGAGCTGGGGAGGGAAGAAAGTGGGGTTGGGAGAACCTTTCATCCCTGCTGGCCCGGGGACGGGGCATCGGCCCTCAGCAAGAGAGGTATTCCCGGGATGCTGAGCGCTTCATTCTGTCTCCAGGACTCAGGCAGGGTGGTCCCAGCTCCGCCGCGCCCCCGGACCTACAGGTCGGCGTGGTCCGAAGTTTCCTCCGGGGGCCTAGCGGGCGCCCACACGTACTCGGGGGGCACCTGCGCGTCGGGCGCCGCCTTGCGGTAGAAGCCGAGCTCCTGCACCAGCGCGTTGATCTCTTCGCGGGTCATTTCACTGAGCGGTATGCGCTGAGGCGGAGGAGGAGCGGGGTCAGCAGACTGGGTCTCACCTCTGGCTTTGCCCCCAGCCCGCCTCCCACGGCCTCACCTCCAGTTCCTCGTAGCGGCGGCCCAGCAGCACGAGCTCAGGGTCGGCCCCAGGGAGGTGTTTCATCACCAGGTTGTGACTGGAGGTGGTGTTAAGGAGGGTGGTGGTGGGCAGAGGGAGGTAGTGGTTCCCGCAGCCTTACTGATGGGAACAGCATTGCCTCCATTGCTGAGCGCTTACTCTGTGCCCGGGTGGGGCCAGGGTCTCCGCTTATACGTGAGAAAATTAGGGTTCATTCTGTGGCAGTCATCACTAGTCAATCTCTCTTGCCCACCCAACATGGAGACCACCTCAGAATCCTCTGGGCGGCCACTACCAATCAATTCCACTTGTCAGTTGAAAACCATCTGCCACCCCTTTCTTAAGTTAAGTGGAGATTCTCCCAGGTGCCCAACCCATTTCCCCTCCCCCAGAACAGAAGGATACTAGAATGGAATGTCCTGGGTGATGAAAGCCTTCACCTGGGGAGGAACCAGAGCATCAGAGACCATGACCCCAGTCTCCTCGAGGTACAGACGGGGCACTGAAGCCCAGTGAAGTCATAAAGCAAGTCAGGTGCAGGCTCCTGACTCTTAGCCTAGGGATCCTCCCCCCAGCCCCAGTCATTAGGACCATGTTGCCCACTCCCCAAGAGGCTCAGGGGGAACAGAGCTAGGGACCTCTTCCTTCAAACTCACCTCCTTTAGGCGGTTCAGCTGTCATCCCCCACAGGTCTGGAGGGGGATAAAATGGGATAGGTCAGAGGTCCTTCACATTTATACCAGCCACATCCCCAAAGCCATACATCCTTATCCCTGAGTTGGGTCGGTCTGTGAGTTATCCCTGGATCAGCAGTTCCCAAGGTGTGAAGGAAATGCTGGCCCCTTGTGGACAGAAGGGGGAACTGTGTATACAGCTGGGGAGACTCAGGCCTACAGACACCAGGGAAAAAGAGCAAGGCCAGAGACCCACAGTGTGCCTGCCAGCCTTGGGGCCTGTACATCCTACTGGCTGTTGACTGACTCCCAATGCCCAGGGGAAATGATCACCCTGCTCCTCTTAAGCAGTAGAGACCTGGGCTTGGCCTTTGATCCCTGAAATCTCACAGTGGAGGCAGACCAGAAGGAAACACCTCAGAATGGCCCTGGGGGCCCCCATTAGAGACACCTACCATCTGGTCCCTACTCTACACAGGCAGACCTCACCCTGCCTGCCACCTGCGGCCCAGCCCCACAGACCATCTGCTTGCTTCCCTGACATGGGAGGGTGGGAGGACTCCTCCCTGCCTTCCCTGAGGAGACACCACCATCCAGCAGGAGTGCAGACCCCAGGACCACCCACTCCAGCCCTCCTCCATCCTACCCTCAGCCCTTTCCTTAGAGACGGTCTCACTATGTCCGCCAAGCTGGTCTTGAACTCCTGGGCTCAAGCAATCCTCCTGTCTTGGCCTCCCAAAGTGCTGGGATTACAGGGGTGCACTACCAGCACCCAGCCATTCTACACCTTTTTGTCAGAGCTGACAAAAAGCTCAGAGGAGGGCTGTGATGGTCAAAGTCACATAGCAAGACAGGGACTCCGAAAGGGAATTTCCTGGTAGGGGGAGCATGGGAGGCTGCTGCAGAGTAAATGTTGACAAACAAGTTCCCAACTTGGTTCCCCCTCCGAGTTGGCCCCCTTCCCTGGCTCCTGCATATGGAAGGAGGCACCCAGAAACTCTTCTCTCCCCCTAGAAAAAGGAAAAGAGACTTTCTGGAACCTCAAGCCCTGGAACTGGGTGGGGGAGGAATTCCAGGAACATGAAGTGATGGGGGATGGGAAGTTGGGACAGGATTGGGAGTCATAGGCCACGAGAAGAGTTAGGAGACTGCTCTGTCAGTGTGTCTGGGTGTCCGCTGGCGGGCCGGGTAGGGGGAGCTGGGGAAGGGTTCGGAGTTCCAGGCCCCAAAGTCGGTGTCTCAGACTTCCACGGTGGATGCTGGGGTCATCTGGGGCTAGGGAACAGGAGGGACGGTCCCGGCGCAAGGGGGAAAGCAGGGACTCGAGGTTCAAGGTGGTCCTGGGGCCAGGGCAGACGGTGCTCCCATGGGGCCGCAGGGTTGGGGGACGGTAGTGTCGGGGCTGGAGGCCGGCGTACTCACCTCTACCCGGGCGCGGGTCAGGCCGCTCAGACGATTCCAGTCCGGCCGGTAGGCAGTGGCGGCTGTGGCTGG